AAAACTTTTTGGAAGCTCACAAAACGTCAGGCAGCTGCATGAAAGTTTCACGTGGACTTCTACTGACTAAGATAACGTGAGGTACAAACACCGTCTCCCATAACTAACGAAAAATCAGAAACAAACTGTTGTTAGGATGAAAAACAGTCTACTATAAAATACTGTTTAAAAAGTCATGCTGGAATAGCGAGCTGACCTTCTGAAGGAGTGCTGAGCAAGCTGGCCCTATAGACGCATCCACGCCGCCTTTTGAACGTATAACGTCCATCAACTGCTGCTTCGGCGTTGCGCTCCGTGTCAGCCGATGAAGCAGCCACGGGCGAAGCACCAGCATTAAATACATTGGCAGCAACAGCCGGCTTATTCCACAACTAAAAACACACTGAAACCTCTGTTTCTTTGGGGCGCCACAATGATGAAGCTCACAAATTACAGGCACAAACAAAGGGGACTCGATTATGAAGGGTTTCTTGATGAAACTGATGATGGCTTTCTCGCGACAGACAATCATTTGTTTTTCCGATATTGCGATTTAAAAAATTTGCACGAATTAGAGTTCAGAGCTAAATGCCGTTAGAAAAGTGACCTAAAAGCCAGTGTCGGATTTTTGGCGTTATGCAATGGCCCGCGACCATCTCCCCGGGGTTTAAAAACTACAGCCTATTAGTTCCGGAGCTATAAAAAATACCCAGATCCAGGCCTGAAATCAAAAAAAAAGGACAAAAAGGCTCAGACCCAGCTATTCTCATTCCCACTCCCACACCTCACCCTCCTCCCCTCTCAGATTTTTACCCCGAAAAGAAAGTTTTAGTTCCGGAACTACCACAAATTTTGAACTGAAGAATACGCCAAGGGTAATGAAGTAATTTCGATTAGTTTTTGCACGGTTCACATGATGTAAAGCGTACAAAAATGCCCAAATTTGAATAAATTTACTGCATTCTACATCTATACAATCATTCATTGTAGATGTAACTGGAAAGGTCGGGAAAAAAAGCCGCATCCTTCCACCAGGACTGTAAAACCAAGTATTTCCCTGGGCAGCTTCCCAACGAAATGAAATTCCCCATCAGTGAAAAAAAAGAACTCACCTCAGCATTGCGTTTGAGCCATGCACGAGTAGCAATGGGTTCTTTATCGGCTTCGCTTACAGAACTCCTCGAATGCCTCTTCCTCTTATGCGTCTTCACTTTTGATGGCGACATACTTCCAGGCATTTCATCCTGCAGCAACATAATATATGTATATACATACACACAGACACTCGAAAACAAGAACTACCCGGATGGCCTTTGGAACGAGGATATACACTGCATATACGATGGGTAAAAAAGCAGATGTGTAGCTCAAAATCGAAATGCCAAGCTCAGAACCGCCTTAGTGAACATCCAAGTAACACTACTAAAATGGAATACCAACACCAGCTGCCCGGATATTTCTGAAGTCATTCGCAGAAACTCAAGCACGCTTCTCAACAGCTTTATATATCACACGGGCGGAACAGGAGGAACAGCAAACACAGCGATAAGGCCAAATCAGATATCAGGGATAACTTAAATTTAAAAAAAAAAAGAAATGAAATCAGCTATTTTCCTCAAATTCAATGAGCAGGTAGGGTCAGAGGCCAAAACCAGCCTCAGTCGCTCCTCACAGTAACTCAAGCCTGCCTCTTCCAATGCCCTGCATGAAGTTTAAAGTGACGAAAATTCAGTCAAAACATACCGCGGAAAACTGTAAAACAGGCAAAAACATGCTCAGCCACAGAGATGAGACAAATTGATAAATCAGAAAAATGAATTCAAATACACATAAGCCTTCACACTGATGCTCGGGGAAACTATTGTAAAATAGCATTAGCAGCAGCAGCAACACCAGGAGTGCACCTTGCTGTTTCGTGTGTCTGTTTCATCCGCTAGCACTGACCCATCTTCTTCCCGTGGTTTAGTAAGCTTTTCTGTCTCAGAAAACGCCTTAAAATGCATGCAGGTTCGTGTGCAACCCGAGTGTTACACATTGAAAATTGGTCTCATCCCCTCCCCATTCTTCGTTTCTGGAATACTTTTCCTTTCACCAAGCAAAAGTCCATCTCTCTGTTGAAGCTGCGCCCTTCTGTTTGCGAAGCCCCGTGTGTAGGACCGGACTCCATACTTATGTGACAGACAGTTTTGTTC